AATTAGGATTTTTATTTACTTTGATAAGCTTTTGCTTTAGTATTCTCTGGTTGGTATCTTTATGTCTATTGTACATTTTTGTATATTAATCATTACTGATAAACTCAGACTCTGATAACATGGGGTAGAAGAAACTGTGTTTTTATGGAAAGTAAAGGTCAAAAACAATTTAAGTTCTAGACTCCTGCCAAGTCTCAGAATTTGTATTAATGTACAATGGATTTGGTCTTCTGTAATATAGAGGTTAGTGATGTCTTTTGACCCAGGCCAGACACAGAGCACCAGTAGCTGAATATCTCACTAAATGCCCTTTGAAAAGAATAGGTTTTTGCTATTTGAGAATTAATAAAGTATTTCTCAAATTTTCTTCTCCCAATAACCATATAAAATATAATACATGCCCATTTTACAGATGGGGAACTTAAAGTTCAGAAAAGCTAAGAAATTCACCTGAAATCATTAGATCAGGAAATGTCAAAGAAACTTGAATCTAAGGCACATACTCTACCATCCATGGCTGTGATACTTTCCTCAAATAAAAAAGAACTGTAAACTACATTTATATAGGTTTTCTCTGTAGTATTTCTATTTTATTCTACACAACTCTACAAAAGTCACCAATGATTTTGGAGACTAAGCAAAACTTGGGTCCAATTCTGTAAACTATTATTCTGTAAACAGATTAGGTGAACTCACTTTCACCTATGTATTTTTTTTATTAGTTTTCAAGAGTCATTTAATAGAAGCTATTTAACTTCCATCACTTCTGTTTCTCTTACATTTATAATTCACATTTACTGATATTATTGTTCGTATTTCTTCTAAGTGTGTCTGATTTTTAATGTAGGTAGTTAAGAGAGTACAAGTACCAAAAAACTCCATGGGTTTGCTACAGATCCAGATACCAGTGAGAATCCAGGGAAAAGGGAATAGAAGAAACAACACAGTTTCTGAATTTTTTCATTTCTCATGGCTCAATTCTCATTTGTCATATCCGAAACTCATTTTGTCTTAGGCTTCATAGCTGGATGCTTCTTTCTGATGCTAGTCTAATCCACATGTTAAATAAACTATTTAAGTTCGCTTCTTGGTAAATGTCAAGAGAAGAAAGGATATTTCATGCACTTACAACATCCTAAAATCCCTTGCCAAATCTATGAATCTGACTCTGCATTATCCTTCCCCAGAAGGAGAGCATAATTTCATTATCCATGAATCATCACCTCTTAGACTGTAACATCATTGTCAGAGAACCTAATAGAACCAGTGTTCAGCGGCTGAGAAGGGGGAGGGTTGGGGAGAGCACTGGGGCAAAGCACAGGTCACTGGCATGATCAAGAAACTGCAGGGTCCTAGAGGGGAGGAGGAGGCTTCCCTCACCTGATAGCTCAGACATTCCTACTGACTGGTAAATAACCAATGCTAATTCTTTCAATATTAATGTTGAAATCTGTCTTCCCCAATCGAAATTATATTATATTTTGGAACATTGCCTATAGAAAATACTAACCCATTTGATGAAAACTTGAGAATATCTGGCAGATATAACATTGATGAGTATAAATACTTTGACGTATTTCTTATCTATTCTTACTACATAATCACTTGCTCTTCATCTATGGACACTTATTTCTAGCTCCCAGTGTCATTTCTATAGCCTCTCTCTGGGTTAATTACTGAATAACTCCATATGCAAAATAGAACTTTAAAAAAAATCACACTATAACTATATTTCTGAGGGAGATGAATGAAATAAAATCCAAGTCTGATTCACAGATCGAAAAATACATGTTGTAAATCATGTTTACATAAGGATTCAGATTTAGAAAAACTGAAGACGTGCATGAATCGCTGTGGTTAGTCTAACCAGCCACTGGAGGTCACTGCTGCTCCACAGAAATACAGTTTATTGCCTGTCGACTTAGATAGTTGACTCACCAAATCAAGTAAAAAATGGTTTAAATCCTTTGAAAAAATGTAATGTCAACATTCTTGGAAAATATAAACTCATTTAAAAGGAATATATCTTGCGTCAGTATTGCTTAGAAGACTGTGGCACTGGGACTATTAAAGCCGAGCTGCGGTAGCACTATGTGTACTGGGGCTCATAAAAATGGGGGAAAAAAAACCCATGCAGTTCAGTGACTAAACTGCGTTTCTTCTCTCTCTGGTAAAGCATCCCAAGTACTGACTGAATCCATTCTGCATCGACATATCTGTGTTGTATAGTTCAAGAGGCTAGGCGATTTATTTAACTGTTGTCACCTTTGAGGGGAGTCAGATACTTCATGTAAATTTGGAATAGAAAAATGGGATACCAGTGATATTTCTTTAATATGTTATGAGTTGGAAAAACTTAATGAAAACAGACTTGCAGTATGTATTCCAGAAAGTGCTGTGGGTGTGGGGTGTGAAGACAACAACTTTTGAACAGGAGAGCACTGACCAGGTGGCTTTGACAAATTTATGATGGTGAACTAGTTATTGTCTAACCTACGAGTTCTATATTTGTGATCAGAAGATCCTAAGAAATAGAGAAGCTTCATTTCCAAAGTGGGGGTGGTTAAATAAGAAATGTAATGTCCTGAATCAAAATAACTTTTATAATCTAAGGAATTTTATTTTGGCTCTATTATTACATTCATAAGTAAAGTTAAGCACTAAAAAATGACCAGCCTTCAAAATGTTGGTCATTCATTTAATCTTACACACGGAGTGGCTTTGAATTTTAGAAACACTTTCAATACAACAAACCTATTTTATATATGCTGCTAGGATCACAACAGTGAGAACTGTAAGAATTCAAAAATAAAAGTATAGATATGCCTTGCCTAAGTTTATTTGGTATCCATGACAAATGAAGCAGAAGGTCAAGTCAAAGAATAGAAATGGGCTTTTTCACTTTAACACTGCATTTAATTAATACAATCATCTTCAGTACAGATAAAAATGAGGCTGATCAAAGAAATTTTCTTTTTGAGATGGAATATATATTTACTGACATTTTATGAAAAATGAAAAATTACAACTTCAGTGAAAAACATCACAGTAGGCTCAGTCATCCAGTTCACAGTACTGTAAGGAAGTATCTGCATTATTAATCAATTGGGAATCTGTGACTATTTACCATTAATAAATATACATTCAATAATTATTCTTGGGTCAATATATCATAGTTATGATGCTTTTCTGCATCTCTTTTAAGATTTAATCAAAATCAAAGTACCTTGAGAAATCCACTTTAAATGTCCCCTTCCGTTTATTGCTTATAAAAGTATGATTTTTTTAAAAAAATCTGGCTTCCTTGCAATTATATTTCATGGGGACTTGCCTAGATTTTTCCTCTCAGCATATGAAAAGCCTTCAAACGATATAAAAATGCTGGTTAAAAAAAATAGCCATTCACTTTTTCTTTTTTGCTGCAGTGATTTTGTTTTGAAAGAACAGGGATGTGGTTAAAGATGTGGGGCTTGGCAAGCCAAATTAAATGAAAAAGACTCAGTGTTTCAATTCCTGATTTTTGCTCCTGCAACAGGATTGTTCGTTTTGGAGGATGAGAGAGGATACAATAGAGACCACAGACATTTTTCTAAAATCTTAATGAAGTGTGGTCAAAGTTACTTAAATACAGAGGGTCTGATTTGTGCTGCAGTCAATAAACTTTCACCTACGACATAAAAACATGCATGCAGCTTGCAGATTGCCAACAGGGTCTGTACAGAATCATACTGATGGATGGGTTCACAGTACAGATGAACATAGGGACACTGTAACGTCAGCAGTAGAAAAGCAAAGGACAACTGCCATAGTTTGGTCTTTTTTTCCCTCTAAGATGTATTTTAGACATTTATTAAGGTGTTATCAAAATCATTCTTTTCAATGAAGCTTTTGTGGCAAGCATGTCTTGGAATGTGTTCTCTTTATGCCTCTGAATGAAGTGTCAGTCATTAGGGGACTAGCGTGGGCAGGGCACATAATGGAACACAACAGGACAACCAGACAAATCCCAGACAGAACAGACAGAGCTAAAGATTCCACTCACTAGATTAAAGTCCTTGAAAGAGCTGGAAAGAAATTCTGGTAAGCTCCCAACCATATGCAAATAGCAAGCTGCCTTCCCATTTGCAAACCTCATCTCTGAAAACTCCCTAAGGTGAGGAACAGTGGAGAAACCTGCCTCCTCAAATTTGCTTCTTGGTTATTAAATTAATTAATTAATTTAGGCTAAATAAAGGCTAGGAGAAATTGACAGTGTGAAACCTCTAGTATGATTTTCCAGGGATGGATTTCAGAGACAAGGCATTCAAGTCTAAAACTTTGTATTTTTACCATCTCATGTTTTTCAGTTGTTTATTTGCAGCATTTTAACCCTTCAGCTCTTTTCCCTGGGCTCGCTTTCCTGTAATTCAAACGGCTCTGGAAAATTGCCTGTGGTGCTTCTTTAACCCAGCACCATCTTTTGATAATTTCCTGCAATTTTCTTTTTAAGCTAGACCATGTTTTGAGGCTCTGTGTCTAAATGTTTCTGTAATCAAGCATTCTCCTAGAATCAGTTTGAGCTCCCAGTACCTGGGATCATTCACTTTTTCCTTGATTTGCCAAAATGAACAGCAAACCTTCTAGAACTATAGATGTGGTCCTACCAGAAGAGAAATAACAGCAGCTGTGGAGGATTACTTACGGGAAACTGAGTTTTATCTTAAAACAAGTGAGATATTAATGCAATCAGTTAAGACTCTTATACAATAGGCATTATATTACACCAGAGTTTGAGCTTTGCATTGATTGTGATATTTAAATTTCAATGGGCTGATTATGTATGAGAGGAAAATGACCAGTATTATGAATGTGCTGAAACGGACAGGGAAGGACCTTGCCTACAAAGTGAGAGGGAGAGGGAATGGGAGGGGGCACCACGTTCCCTTTATAGTCACCAGAGTTCAATAAAGCACCACTTATTTCCCAGCTTTTAAGAGCGCTTTTATCACAACGGTTCATACCTCACACTCCCTGGAGCCTGATTTGTTATAGGTGCAGGGTCCCGTCCCATTCAGCAGCATCTCGCTGGTCTCCGTGTTGGTGGGTTTATAATCTACATAAAATTCCTGGGTGCTGGGAGTCATTTGCTTTAGGGACTGTCTTTTCTTTTTCCTGTGCCTTCGCATGAGGGAGCGCTGCTGTAGCTGCTTCATGCTCGCAGGGTACCGCTTCCATGACACGTAGATAACGAGCAGGATGACGAGCACGGACAGGAAAAGGGCCACACTCCCTGCGATGATTTTATGGAAAGAGATGTGCTCAGTGTCAGCATCGGTCTCTGGGCCGGGCTCCGTGGCTCCCACCGTGGGGGGCAGAGGGGGCTTGCTCTCATGCTTCGGCCGGGGGAGCTTAGGCTTAAATGTCGGCTTGGGGAGAGCCCTGGCCAGATCAAACCTCTCCGTGGTACTTTTGCCACAGATGCTGTAGTTCTTCACGGCATCGATCACATTTACTCCTTGCAGCTCTTTGGGACTGGCACAGATAATTGTATTCTCCCTCAGACCTTTAAAACTTTTCAGCCAGTTTACCAGGGAACAGATATTTCTGCTGCATTCCCATATATTCCCGGCAAGACTGATGTCATTGAGAGATATCCAAGAATCCAAAATCTCTTGACCAATAAATGTAAGCTTATTGGAATCCAGGTTGAGGCGCTGCAGATTTGGGACACACTGGAAAACACTAGGTCCACTAAAAGCTTCAATCTCATTGCCTGATAAATCAAGCCTTTGTAATGAGCTCCAGGTCCAGGACATGGTCTGTCCTATGACACTGATTTTATTCCACTGCAAGTAAAGGTTCTGAAGGCTCACCAACCTTGGAAAAAGGGCCAGGTTGAGCTTAGAAAATTGATTGTGCTCCAGGTGAAGTTCTTTGAGTCTGATCATGCCAGCAAAGACATTCCTGGCTAAACTTCGGATCCGGTTATATCCCAGGTCCAAAAGTTCCAGATTGCGGCAGTCTTGGAATATTCGCACGGGGATGGTTCTCAGGGAGTTAGACCGTAAATGTAAACTCAGCAGCTTCCGCAAGCCCCGAAACTGTTCAGATCCCAGAGAATGCAGCTGATTATAGGACAGATCCAAGTTCCGTAAATTTGTCACAGGTCTGAAGGTATTGTTGAGAAAATAGGAGATTCTGTTGGAACTCAGAATCAACTCTTTGAGTCTGCGTATTCCATTAAAAGCATTCTCATCAATATTGCTGATATGATTATGGTCAAGGTACAGCCAGGTGAGCTGGTTGAGCCCTTTAAATTGATTATACTTAAGTTTTTGAAGGCTGTTATAGCGAAGGGACAAACCTAAGCAACCAGCAGATATACTTGAGGGTATCTCCTGTAATTTCTGAGATTCACAATATACCATTTTGCCTTCACACCTACAGCCCTTAGGGCATCCTCGTTCGGCAGAAGAAAGCATTGTCAGTAAGACAGTGGGGGCTATAACCAGTGCTACAGCTGATCCGCTCAGTAGCCTAATTACATTGAAACCTGGAAATAAAAACAACTTAGAAAAGTTATCCCCCCAAAAAGGAATTCATTTATTTTTAACCAAGCAAAAATAGGCATGTATTTTCTTTTTTTTTAAAATTAAATCTAGATAAACAACATTTAATATCAAATATCACCTCCTTGACATTTAAAGAGAATTGGCTTTAGGTTTTTTTTTTTTTTTTCTAAATAGTTAAGCAAGGAAACGTGTCCACTAAGCAATTGAATTTATAGTCTTAAGCACAGAAAGGTAATCTCTAAAATAATTAAGGCAGAATTACAACACAAACTAGAGGGTTTTGTTTTTGTTTTTGTCTTTTTTTTTTTTTTTTTAAGAAGGAAAGAAGAAAAATGACAAAACATACCCATCCTTTGTATTGTTCAAAGGTCGTCCTTAGGTCTTTTGCTTTGGCTTAAGGGGCCACTTGCATGACAGCCCCTGTCAGCTGCACTGTGAGTCAGGGCTCGCTGACACCCAGGAAGAAAAATTGGACCCCTTGGGAGATGGACCGATTTTGGAACATTATTCTTTGCCAGCCACGCAGAACACTCCAAGAACAAATAAATTCCAGCACCGCATTTGTAGCAAAACATCAAAAAAATCTTCCTAGGTAATAGGATCTTCATGGATATTACGTTTTTGCATCTTTACAGTTTTTTTTTGTTGTTGTTGTGGGGGGGACGTTTAAAAAAAAAAAAAAAACTGGCTTCTACAATTTCTTCTTATCGGAAAGCATGATGTATTCCTCCAGGCAACGTGGGGCTACCTGAGCTGCCACATCTGTATTCCATAGCCCAGCATTTCTGGTGGTGAGCACCCACTTCAGCCACAAAGCTGCGTTGGAGCCCAGGAGGCAGGAGAGCCCCGTACCGCACACACGCTCAGCTCACTTCTGCAGACTGTCATTCTGAAAGCTGCTCGGACTGTTGCTTTGGTTTCAGTGAATGCAGTCTTATGTAAAGCTGCCCCCAGTGGTGAAGAACATTATGGGCATGTGCAGAAATGTCTCTCTTTTTTCTTGCAAATGAGCAGGCTCTCTGCTGGAAAATGAATGATTCTTTTGGGTGGCTCAATGGGAACTGAATGGTCACCGTAATCAATAACTAGCAACATTTTCTGTAATTTCCAAGTCTTGTTTTACAATTTGGCAATGTCTTTATTGTCTGCGTCCACTTAATCGCTAAACATGTACTGCCTAGAGTTTTTTCTGGAGCTTGACATTAAGTTCACAGACCGAATGTCAATTTTTCTTAACCTCAACGTAGGCTTTGGACTGAAATTTATAAAATGACTTATTGAGCTTTTCACAGAGAAGCATTAACTGCCTGCCCATTTGACCTCTTGGAGTCACAGTGATTGTATTATGGAAGGTGTCTCAGGATGCTAAGATAGATGATACATTTTGGAATAGTGGGGATAACTAATGACATATAAATTGATGTGTCCAATAGCTTTTTTGGTTTTCTACAAAAGACATAATTGGCTTAATGGCTTATGGCTTGGTTTGTTGTTTTGGTTGCTGTCATTTGTTTTTAATTAGAAGAGAAATAAACCATTTTTAGTGCGAGTGGAAGAATCAAGAGATCATTTGGTTCAGTTTATTGATGCGGCTGCTATTTATTGCACTAATAATATTTATTGAGCACTTCCTAAGTGTTTTAAACGAGCAATCTTGTTTTATCTTTAAACAATATTATGATGTACGTCCCTTTATAACTTTCATTTTAAAGATGAGGAAACTGAGGCTTGGCGAGTAACTTGATGACATTCATGCAGCAAGTAAGTGGCAGAGCTGAGATGCAAATCCATCTCTCTCTTTCGCTTGGACCTCTAACCACTAGATGGTTTTCAGCAACAGTGTTATCTTCATCTGAAAGTGAGTCAAGTGAAAATTAGCCTGATTAGGACATTGAGTCAAGGAAGTTATAGTATCAGTCAATCAGTTAATCAATCTTGCTTCCTAGGTTTGTATAAACTTTGGTATGATTCTTTGAAAGAAGTATTATAAAAACTAATAAGAAGCAGTTTAGTCTAGTGATTAAGAGCATGGATTTTTGAACCTAGGATTAAATCCTGGCTACAAATTGCCAGCTATGTAAACTTGAATAGGTTACTTATCTTCTCTATGCCTCATTTTCTCTTCTACAAAATAGGTATGGTAACAAAAAAACATTTCATAGAGGGTTTGAGAATTGTCAACTTAATATCTGTAAAGTACTTCGAATAGTGTGTAGCACATAATAAATGTGTGTTAGCTGTTATTTGAATATCAACTTTAATGTATTTGCTGTCATTGCTTATTGTTTAGTATTGAATATTGACTGTACCAACTATCATTAACTCACAAAGAGCCTTTTCAACGAACATTTTTGTGTTATTCACAATGGATTTCTAGGATTCACTCAGTCTTACCTTCTTTTAATAAGAGAGCTTTCTAAATCTCTATCATCTCAGCTTTATCTTTAAAATGAATCTTTTGGTTCTATGGCCCATAACTAGTAATTAATGTTTAATTCTTTCTTCCTAACACAGAATATGGTAACATCTGTCCCATAGAGAAAATCATTTTGTTTAAAGATAAATAGTGCACCTTAGAAGTTTGCCTTGTCAGTCTTTGTCAGGTGAATTGGCTGTGGAATGCCCCAGAGAGCTTTCACATTCTCTAAGGATGAGAAGTTGGGTAGTTGTTAGTCATGACAATCAAAAGGGTCCCACAGAAATAGTACAATGAAAATCACCAATTCCTCTGATAGTATGCTATGAAAAGGGCAGTGGTTCCTCCCAAATTATCCATGCTATTAATGTATGTAAAGCCCCCAGAGAGCTAGTTAAACATAAATTTCTCAGTCTTTCCCTCAAGATTCTGATTCATGGGATGGTAGAGGCTGCACTTATCAACAGACTGATGGACAGGTAATTTTAAGAAATGCACTGTAAGGAAGTGATTAAAAATAACAAATTTTCTTCTAGTTGGAAGAGAGGATATGAAAGTTTATGATATTGTGATGTAGGTTCCATGAGGACAAAGATAGTGTTTTGTCTACTTCAGTTTCTCTAATAACTAGAAGAGAACTTGACACATAATAGATGCTGTTATACATTTTTAATACATTTTTATGGGGATCATAAGTACGTTTGATGGGGAACAAAGTGGTTATGTAATACTAGTCTTGTGCACATGGGATTGATCTCTGCAGTGTTCCTGAGCCAATGATATTAGATACAATTTTGAAGGAAGTGTTCTTAAGTAAAGTGTGTAAAAGGCAAGAAACTAGAAAGTGGAAACATTTAGGTCAGCAAGTGATCTCTACCTTTTATGTGAACATCTCATCTTCATAGTTAAATCATAAATTTCATAAGAAAAGTAAATATACTTTTGAATATTTCCTTTGACATGTTACAACTTTAATTATCTAACATCCCAAATGGGGCTTGGCAACTTTTATCTATTAAAAAGTACTAGAGGAAATCATGTTTATAATGTCTATCTCATATCTCTGTTGCTTGAGAACCTCTGATTTTTCTCCTTACTCTCCTTGCTTCTTCATGGGAAATAGATTTTGAGATGTCTGTTTTGCCTAACAGCTGCTGAGGGCTACTCTACAATGGTTGGAGACCCCGTCAATTTCATGCTGCTCCTTTTTCCTTCATTCCCTGGTGGCAAGAACACAGATGAGCCCACTGAAAATGTAATTCTCTCACTCTGCTCTTCCTGGGAGAAATCTTGGATTATTTATGGTGACTCACATTCTTTTCTGTGTTTTACACCTTGTCCTTAGGTTTCAGTCATTTTTCTGATACCTTGGCTTCTGACCTCTTCTAGCTCCATAGATCCGACTTCATCCTCACCTTCACATTCAGTCTCGCGAATGATATTTCCTCTCAATATGAATCATTGGTTTCTTCCTCAAAAGTAATGTATAGCCATTCTTGGACTGGGTCTGACTCCAGGGATTCTGTGTGGCCCTGACCTTGGCACTAGCCCTTAAGCTGGCATCACCACCAGATCTGTCTGGGGTCAGTGTAATGAAGTGCCTGAAGAAGGAAGACCATTCATGGGGCTAGTAGAAAAACCCAAAAGTAAAATAATACAATTCAAAGCAGACTGAATACTTGAGACTGTAGAAATTAGCTCAAAGACATAGTCTTTTCCTTTCAAATGAAAGAAAAAAATAAAAAAAAGTTTATCTTCTAAAATATTTTAGCAGTCTGTTGTACTTTTAAAAAGTTTATCCTCCTTTTACTTGTTGACTATAGCAATAAGATTAGTTCTGATTTGCCTTTCAATAGAACCAAAATTATACTGCATTATGTATTTAAAATTCTTTTGCACTTACCACCACATACAGAACAAACCATAAACTACCTGACAAGTTAAATCATCCCAATGAAACTATAGCCTTAATGATTTATACAATTATAAAATGTAGTCATGTATCTAAAGACTTTTAAAAACTGTACATATAGTACTTCAAATAGCTGTGCATATTTTGCTTCAATTGTGTAAACAAATTCTAAGTGTATATTGCTCAACTTGTGTCCACTATGAAATTGAATTGCCAAAAAAACTTAGAAAATCAGGGCTTAAGGGAGATGTACTGATATATTAACAATAGGTTGGCCTCAGGGATTTCATTCATTTAACAAATACATTGTTTGGGTACCTGCTATGTAATAGGTACTGTTCCAGACACTTGGAATACATCAGTGTACAAAACAAAGATCTAAGCTTATATTCTAATGGGGAGACATGGACAAAACCCCCCCACATAAATAGTATATTATTAGGTAGTAGGTACCATAGAGAAGAGAAAAGTGAGAATAGGGAAGATTGAGAGTGTAAGAGGTGAGGTAAATTGTAATTTTACTTTTTAAAAAGCTTTTATTTAAATTCCAGTTAGTTGACATACACTGTAATATTAGTTTCAGGTATAGAATTTAGTGATTCAACACTTAACATAAAACTCCCTATGCTCAACAGAAGTGCATTCCTTATCCCCATCACCTATTTAACCCATCCCCTCCACCCCTCTCCCCTCTGGTAACCATCAGTTTGTACTCTATAGTTAAGAGTCTGTTTCTTGTAATATTAAATGTTGGGATGGTTAGGGCCACTAAGAAAGTGGCTTGAGCAAAACCTGGAAGGAGATGAGGTTGTTAACCTTAAATATATAAAGGGACTGGCTAGTCTGAAGGCCCTCAAGTGGTAGATCATATGTACAATGAATTGCAAACAGGCCAATCTGTTTAGAATAGAGAGACCTAGAGTAGAGGAATTAAAGATGAATTCAGAGAGGTATTAGGTACTGGGTCTTGGAGGGCTTCATATGCCATTGTAAAAACTTTGGCTTTCTTCTGGAGGAAACTGGGGACCAACTCAAGATTTTGTGCAAACTAAAGATATGATCAAGTTACCTATTGAAAGGATAAGTCACACTGCTCTTATAGGAATAAACTCAAAATTAAGTTTGATTTATAAATATATTATGTAATATATAATATATTATATTATATAAATAAGAATAAAAGCAGGGAGATCAATAAGAAGGCCTTTGTACCAATCCAGGAGAGAGATGATGGTGACTTGGGCCATCACTTGAAAGTGATGAGAATTGGTTAGTTTTTGGATATATGTTTAGGTAAAACCAACATGAGTTTTCTAATGGATTAGGAGTGGAGGTATGAGATAAAGAAATCAAAGATGATTCCTATTTTATAAATTGAGCAACTAGAGGGATGGTGAAGCTATTAGCTGCTTCTTTGGGTCAAGTTTTGAGAATAGGATCAACAATTCTCCAGAGTAATTTATAAATAAACATTGGAAACACCAAAAAAAGAGTCAACACATTTGAATTAACTTTAAATTTGGCTATCACTTCT